TCACTCGCACACACACACACACACATTCACTCACACAGACACTCACTCACACACACACTCACTCACTCACACACACACACTCTCACACACACACCTGCCAGCTGCTGGTGGTCTCTGTACGTCACGATGCCCACGTGAGGTTTGAGCGTGGTGAAGGGGTACGCCGCCACAGCCGGCCGCGCTTTAGAGATCGCACGCAACAAAGACGACTTGCCTGCATTCGGAAAGCCAACCTGCTCCCAAACCAGACACAACTTCAGTCCACAGTCACTTGCTCACAGTCAGAAACACACACACACATAATAATCCTAAAACAAGAATCTGAAATCATTTCCCATCAGAAAAATCAAACATCTTTCTAAATACAAAACAGATAGACACCTTGCTTCAAGTTTTTGCAACTGATTATGGAAGCAAACAGTAATATTCTTATTACATATATACAGTATATATATATACACACACACACACACACACACACTAAGGAGGACATTATGAAGAATGCTGGTAATCAAACAGTTGTTGGCCACTACTGACTTCCATAATAGGGAGAAAATACTCTGGAAGTCAATGGTGACCAACAACTGTTTGATTACCAGCATTCTTCATAACGTCTTCTTTTGAGGACAACATAAAGAAACTTACACAGGTTTGGAACGACACAAGGGTGAGTAAATGATGAGAAAATCATATGAATATATAATTGAATATGAATATGTTTACTTGCATGTCACTACCAACATCGCTAGCGCCACATGCAAACTTAGCCGTTATTTGGTCGTAGGGCTGGGCGATATGGGCAAAAAAATGATCACAAAATGTTTCACATCAGTCGATATCGATAATTATCACAATATATTTCAAATCTTTATTTCTTTCAAGTTTAAAAGCAGCTCCTAAGTGAACATTGTAGAAACCAGGGCCCATATTCACATAACATCTTCAGGCTAAAAGTAGCTCATAACTCGCCGATTTAGGAGAAAATCTTACAAATAATGGGCGTGTCAGTCCTAAATTTAGGACTCCTAAATGTTTACTCTAAGAGTATTTCACAAAACGTTTTAGCTCTAAAACTAGCTCCTAAATCTGTGAAAGGTTAGGAGCAGTGAAGAGGACTCCTGAGTCACTAAGACCAAGCCACAAACTATTCCTAAAATAGCTGTTGCTGGCAATCTGCCTCTGAATGTAAACATTTTAGAAACATTTGACGATAATGAGCTTTTAAAAAGCTATCGGCTTTGGTTTGGAGGTTATCCCAACTCCAAATTTTTTATTATATCCTTAATATATAGCTGTTCTCGCGTCCAGTCTGGTTTTCTTTTATGTTTGCATGTATTACTATCAGCCATGATTATTCTACTCTGCTAATTAAAACGCTGTTTATATGCATATTAGACCGTTAGTCGACGAGAAGAGGCTTGGTCGACCAAAATTTCATTAGTTGCTTAGTCGCAGAAAAAAAAAGAAAAAAAAAAAAATCACCACGACCCGG